ACTGATCCCTATACTCACTTGAAAATAGTCTGCAAATCCACTCCCATCTGACTATTACCCATCCCAAACATAGCTTTATCCCCAGGAGCACATCATCCAGTCCATTTTAATTGTTTGACAAATCTAGAAGGACGGGCAGAATTGTAACATCAGACTTGCTACCCTGGCACTCAGTCTGTTTGCAACCTCCAGGGAGCTGTGTGTGTCTGGGAGTGGCAGACTCCTGCTAGGCTTTTTGTGGGCAATTAGGCTTTGATGTCTGGCCAGCTGGTAGTCCCAAAGGGCTGAACAGAGCAGCCAACCAGTGAAACACATGTCTCATTTAAAGCTTTTTCAGAAAAAACTTCCTGAAGTGACCTGCTTTAATCTGTCTTGGAGATGAGGTTGTCGCCAGCCACTAGAATAAATCAGGGTGTGGGGTGTGGTCAAATAGGGCCCACAGTGCTTTACTATGTATCCCAGAGCCACCCTGTTTTTAGTAGGGCAATGATCCTGTCCCTGCTGCCACTCAGCTCAATGTACAGTGCTTCATCTTTGGCCTGCAACTTCCACCAAGGTGTATCTCTAATGGAGGAGGGCATCTGCCATCTAGTTATGCAAACCAAGCGTGGAATCTGGGCTCCTAGCACTGACCTGTGAGTCAACTTTTGGAAACCCCTCTTCATAGAATATCAGGGTTGGAAGGCACCTCCAACCCCCTGCTCAAAGCAGGACCAATCCCCATTTTTTTGCCCTAGATCCCTAAGTGGCCCTCCTTAAGTACTTAGGAGTTCTGATATTTCCCCCTGTTCTGTGCTGCAGGTCAAAGTTGCAGAGGAGCTGGCAGCTGCTACAGCACAGGTCTCCCGTCTGCAGTTGGAGCTGACTGCTCACCAGAAGAAGGAGATGGACCTGCACACACAGCTGACCACAGCCCTGCAGGAGGCAGAGATGAATGAGGCACAGCTCAACAAACTGCAAGCACAGCTAGCCGGTAAGGGGTCGGTCAGGGGGTGGGTTCTATTGCCTAGATCATGGTCTAGTTCTCTGTTAACTTGAGGTCAGCTGTATTGGTGACCTTAACTCTATACTTCAGTGGCAGCTGTCTGAATTGCCAAAAAAAGATCTATTTAGCATAATGTGCCTTAGCTTTCAGCTAGAGGGGCCAACTAGGGGAGAGAAGGAAGCTCTGCCTCTATGTGCAAATCAGTGCTTAGCCTCCCTGCTGAGATTGCCAACAAAGGAGCCTGTTAGGACAGCCTCTCATGTGGACACCTTCCTGTTAGGCTGGTGGGCTTCGTCCTGTACCTACCACTTTTGTCTCTACTGAGCTAGACTAGATTTAAACTGATGTACTAGTGGTTCCCTTTCACCCACTGAGGGTGCCCTGCCAGAGAGTATGGAAGTCCTTAGTGAGTCGTGCAACTATGCCCCTCTTGCAGTTGGGTCAACTAGTCCATGTTCCTATAGCACCATTATCCCAAAGATTACTGAAGCTAGTTCTAGTGTGGAACACAACCAAGGCTTAAGAGAGGAAGTCAATAATTAGCATAAATGCAGGGATTAGTTAGGCATAATGGAACTACCTGAGTTTGGACTGCATGTGAGATACACCTTCTTTCTGACATTGGCACCTCTTGGGTGAGCAGCCTTCTTGAAATACCATGGTACAGAATATATGCACTAACTGTGAAGCCTCCTGCTTCCTGCCATAAGAAGCTATGGAGATAAATAACTCGGCGAGATAGATAAAAGGTTATGACTTTTAGATGAATAGTAGCCCATAAAATGACAAGGGTTTCAACAGTCCTCATACTCTGACAGCATAAGCTGATTACCAGATGGGTTCAAAAAGAAAGCTTCTCCTCCCCATACTTAATATTGCACAGCCGAATGCAAAACCAAAACATTGACTGAACACTTCAAAGCTTTTGCTGCTTTTTTTTCCCACTACTTACTAATCTATTAGAGTTCTTTGAAGGGGTCAACAAACACATGGACAAGGGGGATCCAGTGGACATAGTGTACTTAGATTTCCAGAAAGCCTTTGACAAGGTCCCTCACCAAAGGCTCTTACGTAAATTAAGTTGTCATGGGATAAGAGGGAAGATCCTTTCACGGATTGAGAACTGGTTAAAAGACAGGGAACAAAGGGTAGGAATACATGGTAAATTTTCAGAATGGAGAGGGGTAACTAGTGGTGTTCCCCAAGGGTCAGTCCTAGGACCAATCCTGTTCAACTATTCATAAATGATTTGGAGAAAGGGGTAACCAGTGAGGTGGCAAAGTTTGCAAATGATCCTAAACTGCTCAAGATAGTTAAGACCAAAGCAGTCTGTGAAGAACTTCAAAAAGATCTCACAAAACTAAGCGATTGGGCAACAAAATGGCAAATGAAATTTAATGTGGATAAATGTAAAGTTTCTTCTTCATCTAATTGAGCTAAAAAGGGGGCTCTACTTTTCAGTTCACTATTAAGCTCTTCTTGGCTATATATAGGCACTTGCCTTCAGGAGACTGTGTACTATGAACCTGAAGAGGAGTTGTTAGTTTTTTATTGTTGGTTTTTTTCCCACTATACTGACCAATTCCTCCTGCCCCCAGGCTGAATCCTGGCTGCTCTGTCTTCAGCTGACAGTCTGCTCAAGCTGGTAGTAGAGAAGTGGACTGGATGCAAGCAGAAGTTCAGTTTTGTTTTGTTTTGTTTTTTTTTCCTGGCAGCAAAATATCAGATTAGGAGTAGCTTTGGTCAGGAGTCCTGACCCGTCCTGTCCTCCCCTGGGCCAGAAACCTTTCCACCTCTTTCTGAAAACAGCTAGTTTCCCAGGTGTCTTCCATGTAGGAGCCATATAGACTCTGAAGGGTTAGTTCAGTCAATATGTAATGTACCAGTATTTCTTTAGGGTAATAAAATCAACACAAGCAGTCACTTCATTGGATATCTTTGGAGTTTAATAAGAGGTCAGTGTGCAATGCGAGAGCCAGAGACTCTTAGAAATGTGATGCAGTTGTGAAAAAGGCTAATATCATTGTGGGGTATATTAACAGGAGTATTGTATGTAAGACTTGGGAAGTAATTGTCCCACCTAGCACTGGTGAGGCCTGAGCTGGAGTACTCTCCAGTTCTGGGCGCCACATTTGAGGAAAGAAGAGAACAAATTAGAGTCCAGAGGAGAGCAACAAAAAAAGGGATTTAGAAATCCTGACCTATGAGGAAAGGCTAAAATGTTTAGCCGCTAAAAGAACTCTTGAGGGGGAAAAGAGACTGGGGTGTGTGGGGGGGAATCTGATAAGTCTTCAGATATGTTAATGGCTGTTATGAGGACTGAAGGTAGGACAAGAAGTAATAGGTTTAATCTGCTGCAAGGGAGACTTAACCTATTACTACTTGTCCTACCTTCAGTCCTCATAACAACAGCCATTAACATGTTCTGTGACCCTTCTGTGTTCTACTCTTGCTATGGGCTGTAAGTTTTCTTCCACTCAGATTAATCTGAAATATGAAGTGTGGAAACCCACAGTGAGCTGTGTTCTTGCAGAGCTCCAAGAATCCTCAGAAGACACGCAAGCTAAATTCAGAGCTGAGAAGCAGAGCCGCAGGCAACTGGACCTGAAGGTCACGGCGATGGTAGAAGAGCTAGCAGACCTGAAAGTAGAGAAAGAGAACCTGGAAAAGGTAGGCCCAGGCATCTACATTTCAGGGGAGATGCACAGTTCCAGTCGGATGCTAAACTTAACCTAGTGTTTCTGCAGACCCACACAAGGCAAGCCAAATTTTGGATTGGCAACTCTCTTTCCCTACAAACAACACAGTTTTAGTGCATCAGTTCAGGAGTGCACTTACATAGATTTTAAAGTTCTCTGTATGTTAATGACCATATATAATAGTAATGACAATGAGATTGCCCACAGTGCCCCAGGGGATGAGACGCTATCTGGATGCAGTCCAGATCTGTGCTCAGACATACCACTATCTGTGCCCCAGAACCTTGTTGAGAGGAAGAAGAAATCCCTCTTGGAGAGAAGCCAGGCTGAGGAAGAGATGGATGAGATTCGCAGGTCCTACCAGGAAGAACTGGACAAGCTTCGACAGCTCCTGAAAAAGGCACGGACTTCAACTGATCAAGCAGCAGCAGAGCAGGTGAGGGGACCTCCTCCAACTGGATAGGTTTGTGTGAGTTCCAGCTGGAAAGCCAGTTGATTATAGATAGCAAATACATATTGGATAAAGCTGCATCAGTTGCTCAGTGAAGAAATAGCACCCTGCTTCACTAAGGGGATTAGTCTTCAGTGCTTCTCCTCTGCTTTGCTGGCCTGTGTTGGCTTTGCCTTTACCTCCTGCTCCAGGATTCTTACCGATGACTTCAAAGAATTAAGTAACCCAGGCAGACAGGAAACTACACTAGTTGGGGAGTAAGGAAGGCTCCTAACTTCAAAACAATGGGCTGTGATTCTGAGTTTGGTCTCCAGCCAGCTGTTGTGTGGCTTTGGGGCAACAGGAGCAGCCTGAATTCTGATGGGTGCAAATCTTGCCTCCTTGGTCTTCCAGAGCAAGTGATGCAGTGATCAGAAGATGGCACAAGGGTGGACGCCTCTTGGCTAACAGAGCAGGAGAAGAGCGGAGCTCCTTTTTAACTAGTCAGAGCGGAGTTGGGGAAGAGTAGAGTTGTTGGTAGAGGGAAGGGTGAACGGGGCTCCATCACTGTTGGGCTTCCTTCGCCAGTTGCTGTTGCTATTTGAAGCAAGGGGCTGCAATCTGAGCCAGCATTAGAGAATTGCTCTCCCATGGAGGATAGAATTGTGCCTTGTGTGGGGAGGAAATGCTGCAGGGATAGAACACCAACTCCAAGATGGCAGAACTAAGCAAGAGAATTTGCCTTGCCCCGGCCCCACCCCAGAATTCTCTGCTCATAAGAGTGGATGTAACTGTCCTGTATTGGTAGCTCCCTGCTAATAACTTCTGTTACTTCATGGGCAGCAGTCGCTCATCCAGGCAGAGCTGGAATCCCAGTGGGAAGCAAAATGTGAGCGCATGCTGGTCTCTGTCAAGGAGCAGCACTTACAGCAGTATCAGGAGGTGTGTGAGCAGAGAGACTCTCAACAGAAGCACATCACCCAGCTGGAAGAGAAGGTAGACTCTCCCTTGCTAACCACTTGTCTATACACTCACTTCTCTACCTCTTTCCCGCATGCTGTTGTCCTTCGGAAGCAAATGGGAGGGGTGTAGTCGGGAATCACATACCCAGTAGTGCTCTGCCACCTTGGTGTGGCTAGTGTTTTCCGTTTCCTGGCTTCTCAGAGGAGATGACGGTGCCCCTCTTGACTGGAGGATGTGTCTGGATGTTGCCCCCATTAACTCTGAGTGGTTGGGATTAACGCGGAGGCTGGCTGATGTATTAGCAGGGGTTCTGTACAGGGCAGAGATGGGGCATGCTGACCTCAGAACAGAATTAGCTAGCAGGAAATGCTGCAGCTGATGTCTACTGAGCATGACAGTTTTTCTGAGGGGAAAGGTTTGATAGGTCTGGTGGAAAGGGAATAGTAAAAATGCATCTCTGCTGCTGATTAAATTTAAAAACCTAGAGAATCAAAAAAGTGCCACCGTGGCTAAACAACAAAGTAAAAGAAGCAGTGAGAGGCAAAAAGGCATCCTTTAAAGTGGAAGTTAAATCTTATTTGAAAAAAATAGAAAGGAGCACAAACTCTGACAAATGAAGTGTAAAAGTATAATTAGAAAGGCCAATAAAGAATTTAAAGAATAGCTAGCCAAGACTCAGAAAGTAATACATTTTTTTTGCTAAGTACATCAGAAGCAGGAAGCCTGCTAAATAACCAGTGGGGCCATTGGATAATTGAGATGCTAAAGGAGTACTCAATGACAATAAGGCCATTGCAGAGAAACTGAATTCTTTGCATCGGTTTTCACAGCTGAGGGTGTGAGGGAGATTCCCAAACCTGAGCCATTCTTTTTAGGTGACAAATCAGAGGAGATTGAGGTGTCATTAGAGGAGGGTTTGGAACAAATTGATAAATTAAACAGTAATAAGTCACCAGGACCAGATGGTATTCACCCAAGAGTTCTGAAGGAACTCAAATGTGAAATTGCAGAACTAACAACTTTGGTATGTAACCTATCATTTAAATCAGCTTCTGTACCAGATGACTGGAGGCTAGCTAATGTGACACCAAGTTTTTAAAAAGGCTCCAGAGGCAATCCTGGCAATTACAGCCCAGTAAGCCTGACTTCAGTACCAGGCAAGCCGGTTGAAACTATAATAAAGAACAGAATTGTCAGACACAGATGAACATCATTTGTTGGGGAAGAGTCAATGTGGTTTTTGTAAAGGGAAATTGTGCCTCACTAATGTACTAGAATTATTTGAGGGAGTCAACAAGCATGTGGACAGGGGTGATCCAGTGGATATAGTGTATTTAGATTTTCAGAAAGCCTTTGACAAGTTTCCTCACTAAAGGCTCTTAAGCAAAGTAAGCTGTCATGGGATAAGAGGGAAGATCCTCTCATGGATTGGTAACTGGTTAAAAGATAGGAAACAACGGTTAGGAATAAATGGTCAGTTTTCAGACTGGAGAGGAAAATAGTGGTGTTCCCCAGGGGTCTGTACTGGGACCAGTCCTATTCAACATATTCATAAATGATCTGGAAAAAGGGGTAAACAGCGAGGTGGCAACATTTGCAGATGATACCAAACAAAAAAATCAAGATCGTTAAGTCCAAAGCAGACTGTGAAGAGTTACAAAAGGATCTCACAAAACTGGGTGACTGAGCAACAAAATGGCAGATGAAATTCAGTGTGGATAAATGCAAAGTAATGTACATTGAAAACATAATCCCAACTATACATGTAAAATGATTGGGTCTAAATTAGCTGTAACCACTCAAGAAAGAGATCTTGGAGTCATCATGGATAATTCTCTGCAAACATCCATTCAATGTATAGCAGCAGTCAAAAAAGCGAACAAAATTTTGGGAATCATTAAGAAAGGGATAGATAATAAGACAGAAAATATCATATTGCCTGTATATAATTCCATGGTATGCCCACATCTTGAATACTGTGTGCAGATGTGGTCACCCCATCTCAAAAAGATATATTGGAATTGGAAAAGGTTCAGAAAAGGGCAACAAAAATGATTAGGGGTATGGAACTGCTGCCATATGAGGAGAGATTAATAAAACTGGGACTTTTCAGCTTGGAAAAGAGATTCATAGATTCGGCAATATAGATACCAACCGTACCAACGTCCACGCTATCCGCATTTACACAACATTCCCATAGACCACAGGAGCAGCAACAACAACAACAACGTCAAAGACCAAGATTCCAGCGTCGTCGTCCCAATTCTGCAGGGGCGCCTCAACCCCCTCCAACTAATAGGCAGATTTTAAGCCTTGGTCGAGGGTTTAGAAAACAGCGTTCCCACTTCAGCCAACACACCTATCTTTGGACACCGCCTACGACCATTCTCCCACCAATGGAAGAACATTACCTCCGACAAGTGGGTCATAGAGGTAGTTACAATTGGATACGCCATCCCCTTCCTCTCCTTGCCTCCCACCCACCCACCCTCCCCGTCCCTCTTCAGGGACCCCTTTCATGAGCAGCTACTCCTCCAAGAAGTGCAACATCTCCTTCATCTGGGAGCAGTAGAAATCGTGCCAGAACGACACAAAGGGAAGGGTTTTTACTCCCATTATTTCTTAACAGAAAAGAAAAATGGGGGATGGCGACCAATCCTCGACCTCAGGCGGCTCAACAAATTTGTCAAAAAGCAAAAGTTCAAGATGGTTACCCTCACCACCATAATCCCAGCGCTGGAGCAGGGCGATTGATTTTCTGCCCTCGACCTACAAGACGCCTATTTCCATGTCACTATACATCGGGCCCACAGACGCTTCCTTCGATTTACCCTCGGCTCAACACATTTTCAATAGAGGGTTCTTCCCTTCGGACTGTCCACAGCCCCCCGTGTCTTTTCCAAGCTCCTAGCCGTAGTCACTGCCTACCTCAGGAAACAAGGGGTCATAATATTCCCTTACCTCGACGATTGCCTCCTCAGAGCCTCAACGTTCGACGAAGCTCTCCAGGCTCACCGTCGATTGTTTCCTATCTCTCGGCCTACAAATAAACAAAAACAAATCCACATTACGCCCCACCCAGCACCTGGAGTTCATAGGAGCAGACCTCGACTCCCGGACAGGGTTGGCATCTCTCCCACCCGACCGCTTCAACTCCTTAAGCCAACTGGCCACAAAAATTCGCAACAGTCCCCAGGTGACTGCCCGAGACTGCCTACAAATACTAGGTCACATGGCCTCGTGCACTTTTGTCGTCCAGAATGCACGCCTCTACATGAGGTGCTTCCAAGCGTGGTTGGCCACGGTTTACAGACCGAATGTGCACTCTCTAAACAAGACTCTCTCCCTACCTGTCCGAGTCAAAGATTCTCTACACTGGTGGACAGTTCACTCCAACCTCTGCTCTGGAGTCCTTTTCTTCAGCAGGCTCCATCACTCATCCTGACCACCGATGCATCTCTGACAGGCTGGGGTGCACACGTCTCACCACACAGTACAGGGGCTATGGTCATCAACCGAGACCTCCCTGCACGTAAATGTCCTGGAACTTCGAGCTATTCGCAATGCGTGCCGTCACTTCCTGCCACTAATCAAGAATCACATCACAGGACTCAATAGTTCTTGTTCTTCCTCACAGAGACGAGAAGCATCACCTGGTCCCCAGTAGCATAGGGGTGGGCACATGCTGAGCGGTCGTACCAGTCCTTCTG